GCTGCTCGAAAGTTGTATCTACCTCATCCAACTAGGAGAAGCACTCGGAGGCCTTGAGGAGTTTGAAGAATGGTAGTCCCTTTTTGCCGAGGCGTGATATAAAGCGGCTGAGAGCAGCCATGCAACCTGTAAGCTTTTGTATATCCTTTACGGAACGTTGGCCGTTTCATGTTGGTGATGGCGGAGACCTTATTGGGGTTGGGTTCAATGCCACGGGCGCTGATGATGTAGCCCAAGAGTATACCGGATGGAACTCCAAAGATTCACTTTGAAGGATTCAACTTCCATATGTACCTTTTCAGGTTGGCGAACGTTTCTTCGAGGTCAGCGATGAGATTATCGGTGGTCTTGGACTTGACGACCACATCATCGATGTAAGCTTCAACGTTGCGGCCTATCTGTTGATCGAGGCACATCTGGATGACCCTTTGGTATGTTGCCCCGGCGTTCTTGAGTCCGAAGGACATGGTGGTATAGCAATACGCACCGAAAGGCATGATGAACGATGTCTTGATCTGGTCGTCTTCCTTGAGGGATATCTGGTGATAGCCGGAGTAACAGTCGAGGAAGGAGAGCAGTTCACAGCCAGTGGTGGAGTCTATAACCTCGTCTATCCAAGGCAGACCAAAGGAGTCTTTGGGGCAGTGTTTGTTAAGATCAGTGTAATCAATGCTCATTCTCCATTCTTTATTCTTTTTTTGAACAAGAACAGGGTTTGCTAATCACTCAGGATGATACACTTCTTTTATGAATCCAGCAGCTAGGAGCCATTTTATTTCTATGCTAATAGCCTCCTTCTTGTCTGGCGCAAATCGTCGGAGTTTTTGCTTGATCGGTTTAGCGGTCGGTGAGACATTCAAGGAATGCTCGATCTTCTCCCATGGTACCCCCAGCATGTCTGCAAGTTTCCAAGCAAACATGTCGATGTTGCCACGTAGAAAGGAGACGAGCGCGCTTTCCTATTTGAGGTCGAGGTGAGCCCTAATCTTCATGGTCTTGGAGGGGTCATCGAGGCCGAGGCCGACCTCCTTTATTTCCTTGGACTTGGTGGAGGCACACGGAGGCTCCAGCGTTGGGATCTCTATGTCATCGACGAGCACCATCTTGGCGTCGATGACCATGCTAGCCATCTAAATGGAGAGGTCGGTGGCTTCGGCGAGGGTGAGACTTTCTGTCTCGCAGGCGTAGGCAATGGAGAGGTTGGCCCGCAGGGCCAGGACTCCTGCAAGCGAAGGCATCTTCAGCACCAGATAAGCATAGTGCGGTATGGCCATGAACTTGGCCAGAGCTGGCCGACCAAGTATGGCGTGGTAGGCGGTGTTGAAGTCGGCGATGTAGAAGTTGATGTGCTCGACGCGGTAGTTGCTAGCCATGCCGAACTATACTGGTAGGGTGATCTCTCCAAGTGGTTTGGATGCCCTGCCAGGTACCACACCCCAAAAGGAGGAGTCAGAGGGTGTGAGATCTCCTATCCCAAGCCCTAGCTCCTTTAGGGCTCCGACGAAGAGGAGGTTCAGAGCACTCCCACCGTTGATGAGCACTTTTCTGAAAAGCACTTTCTGAACGGTTGCATCAAGGACGAGGGGAAAACGCCCTGTGTAAGGGATGTCTGCCCACTGGTCGGCCCTACTAAATGTGATAGGGACCTCGGACCAGGGGCGATAGCTAGGGTTGGCGATGGCGTCTTCCGTGTTGACGACGAGCACCCGGCGGGCAGTGAGCTTCCGATCTCTTCTACTCTCGGCGGAGGTGAGGCCCCCGAAGATGGTGGTGACCACCTTGTCGTGATCCTAGAAGGCATTGTTGTTGCCCCCAGGTGGTCGGTGACCTCCAGCTCCGTCGTTGTTGTCGGCGTCTGGCTTTTATGCCTAGAACTCCTTAGCCAAGCCGAGGCAGTCCTTCATCTTATGCTTTGCGTTTTTGTGGAGAGGGCACAGGCCCTCGAGGATCTTCTTGTACTGCTCATCATAGTTGCGCTTGGCTCGAGGTTCTTCGACGGCGGCGACGATGTGGTCTGGTTGGCGACGGTGATATTGACCAGATTTGGACCCTTCTAGCCGATCATGGCCACAGTCCCGATGGTGACTGCGGTCGTCGTAGCGGTGGTCATTGTGGCGTCGGTCGTCGGGTCGCTCATCGCTACGGCGAGTTGGGCGGTGAGTGCCCGCATCCTTGTTGAAGCGTATTTCTGCTTCTTCGGCGTCGACGTACTGATTGGTTGGCGGTCGTAATCATCTCGCCAATCCCCATTGGCGGCTTGCGATTGAACTTAGAGCAGAGGTCGTGGTGATGGAGTCCTCGGACGAAGGCGGTGATGACCTCAGCTTCCGTGATGTTAGGAATAGAATTCCTCATCTCAGAAAAGCGTCTGATGTAGCTATGGAGGAGCTCGGATGGCTTCTAGTAGATGCGGTTTAGATTATGCTTGGTGCCCGGCCGAGTACACGTAGCCATATAGTTGTCGGTGAAGACCTTCATCAACTCTTACCAGGATCTGATGGAGCCTGGGGCGAGGCTTGTAAACCAGTTCATCGCAGTTGGCGTAAGCATGACAGGAAGATAGTTTGCCATGATGCTGGTATCTCCCCCAGCGGCGCGCACAGTAGTGGCATAGGCCTGTAGCCACTATGTGGGGTTCATCCATCCCTCATAGGGCTCGACCCCAGTGATTTTGAAACCACGGGGCCACTGGAGTGTTCGGAGTGCCCTCGTGAATGCTAGGGGCCCTTCGGGGTTGTCGTCATCATGATCTGGCGTTGCCGACGTTGAGTGGTTGGAGGGCTAAGTCCGGATCACCAAAATCTTGTTCGTATTCTTGACGGTAGCGTACTTCTTCTTCATGGCAACCAAACAACGCTTGTCAATACGTCGTCGCGCGTCTCGGAGATTGTTGAGGTGCGCTCGGACGTCCTAGTCGACCTCCTGGTCATGTTGGCGAGGGTGTTCGATGCGGTTGCCCCTATCTCCCCCTAGAGGGGTTGTCCATCGTTGTAGTGTTGGTCGGCGATATGACTTTGGCTAGGGGTGGCGATTGGATATTGGCGTAGCTGATCAGCGAATCGAGCTCGTGGAGTATGAAGGTCTCTGATCCTAGCGGATGTTGTTGACCTGGCAGTGCGCCGCTTTAAGCATGGCGACAACCCTAGAGACCTCTGGTGTCTGCGGGAGCCGGGCGAGCTCGTTGACGGCCATGGACAAGTTGGCGCTTGGGGTCTTATAGACGTCGTGGCCGTCAATATGGACAAATTCGTCGTCGAGATTACGTTGGAGTTGGCGTGGCCTTCCTTGCGAATTGAGCTGAGCCTCGGCTAGCACAAGGACAACCTCGTTTGCTCGGCGCTAAGCACGGTTGACGTTCCTATTGACGCAGGCGGCGCGGTCCTCCTCGGTTTCCCCTTCCTACGGAGGGCTATCGACGCTGACGTTGAAGATTGCGCCTCCACGGAATGGAGGGAAGGGAGGTTGCTCGGCGGTAGTTTCCGCGATAGTTTTCGTAGAGCCCTAGGACTCGGAGTTCGGATTCTCCTCCAGGATGGTTTGGAGGGATGCTCCGGGGCATCGGTCGACGAGTAGCATGTTGACAGCCGGCGGTAGCTGGTTGACGATCTGGTCGGCGAGAGGTTGGACATCTCCATCCTGGTCGGCAAACTTGCCCCTTAGGGCATCTTGGTAGGCAGCGGCGATATTGGTGAGCCCAAAGGGTAGGGCCGTAACCCTTGGAGCTTCCTCCAATGGATCTGAACCGGAGGGTGGTCGGCGCTGAACCAGAGTGGTCAGAGCCGATTCTGTGATGGAGAGGCAATCGGCGAGCTTCTGGCCGACCTGATTGATGGATGTGATCAGATCGTTGTTGTTGATTTGTCTCCTCTGGTAGCGGGGGAGCGGGCGGTGAATTGTCGGCGAAGACGACCTCGGAGGTGGTTCCGAGATCGGATCTGCAGTCGTAGGTGTTGGGGTGATCGGCGCAGCATTGATCTGCACCGGCTCGATGAGCTCTCCGACTCCGTCAGCGTTGATGATCCACGAGATCGATCCGACCGTGAAGATCTGGCCGGGCTGTGGGAGGGACAAAGAGCCTGCAAAACGTATCATCTTGTTCTACATGGAAACAACACGCACACCCCTACCTGGCGCGCCAACTGTCGACAGAATATCATCGGCAGTCCTCCGAGGGGTATCCTACGAAGGTAGATTGATCGGTAGAGATGCGTGTAATCGAGAACAAGAAGGCAACAGAGACACACGAGTTAGACAGGTTCAGGCCGTCAGTATGACGTAATATCCTACTCCTGTGGTCTGTTGGATTGTATTGGCTATCGTATAATATTGCGTGAGTTTGGAGGGGGTCCCTGCCCGCCTTATATAGTCTGGGGGCAGGATTACAAGTCGGTTAGATCTAGGAGATAACTAGAAAGTAATAACAGATTACAAGAATCATGGGATCATACGTATCATAACAGATCTCGTAGTATCTTTAAGATATCTTCCCGGTGCCTTGCGGGAGACGTCGAGCAGCGTCGTACCCCGCAAGGTTTCATCTTGTGGGCTGAGCCGCCTCTGAGGGTGCAGCCCATATGGTCTGCCATGGATATCCGGGTCGTAGACCCACAAATACTATTGACATCGGCATCCTCAACTTCTTCTAAACTTTGAGACCATGTTTGGATCGATGGATTCTTAAATGAATTCTGAAAGAATAATATTTTTAAAAAGAATCATATCATAGTGTTTGAAACGAAGGAAATTTAAGTTCCTTTCCAAAGGAAAGGAAATCAGAGTAGGTAGTTTATTTCTTTTTAGCCCATGACGTGTTTATCCCATGAATGAATCGTTATAACGAAATCACAATGGAATTAAAATGTTTATTTATGCAAAGCTCCCACATTATATCCCAAATGGGCACACACGATCTATAAATATGTTCTTCGTACATGCTGTAACTATTTGCCATATGCATGCGACATTTCCTATGTGTGGAGTTGCAAGAAAATAAAGTGAGATTAGATGTGTGTGAGACCAATTATTTGGCAAGAACGCAAGGTGCAGACCTGCACGTAGAGCAGCGGCGAAAAGAAGAACTCCGGCCCGATCACCTTGTCGTAGGCCAGCGCCTTGCACAGCCCGCCGCGCTCCGCCTCCGCCTCCAGCCACTGCTCCACGGTGGCGTCGCAGGCCACCTCCACGATGCGCACGCCGCAGTCGTTGCACCGCACGTACGGCCGCCCCAGCCCCACCGCCGCGTCGACGTCCTTGCCGTCCTCGGCGTCGCCGCTGGCGTCTGCCGCTTGACGCCGCCGGAGCCGGCCGCTGACGGGGAAGTACAAGTCCAGCCACGGGAACATGGGCTCCTTCAGCTTTTCGATGGCGAACGCCGGCGCGCGGAACACGTGCACCGCGCGGAGGTAGTGCAGCTTGTGGATCAAGTCGGCGTCCGCCAGCTCGTAGTTCACCTCCTCCCCGGTCACCGAGCTCGGCACCACGGTCGAGAGCCGGTGGCCGTGCACGGCCATTCTGCTCCTGCTGCCGGCCACGCCGCCGACGGCCAGCGGCGGGCTCCCGGAGACGGCCTCGGCAACCATGGCGCGCGCGACGCGGCGGTCTCGGTCGGTCGTGGCGAGATCCAAGAACGTATGTTTGTTTGTGCAGCTGGCTGTGTGTGTATGTTGGAAACTTGAGCTGGAACTTAAAAGGCAGTTTACTTTCATTATCATTATCATATATAGCCCGTTCGCCAAGTTGAAATATTATTTTGATTAATTTGTTATGAAAAAAAATCACTATTTTAACTAAAAAAATAAATTGAAAAGTAAAATTATAAGAGAAGCGAACACGACCTTAAGGACCTTGAAATGAAAGCATTGGTGTACTCAACTACTGCTCGAGCATTGAATGCAATTCATGGAGTCGATCCGGCAATTTTCGATATTTTCTTTCCATCCTATACAAGTACAGAAATGGGCTTTTGGCAGAGCCCCAGTTTCTCTAAACATGACTCTGGCTTCACCTTCTATGTAAAAGCAGTTTTTTCTGCTGAAACTCAAGCCATGTAAGAAATGTTTAAAGAACAGATTCTCCTGTTTCTCCAGATGAGTCTTAGAAAAAAAATTATGAGAGTTTTATGAACATTAATTAATAAGTTATCAACTTAACAAATACGCTGATATGGCACAATATAAATGAAGAGAGAGATTATCAAAGTTTTATGATGGAACTAATTTACAATGTTTCCTACATATGAGAGTATATTGAAAACTATGACATGAAACCTTCGAGACTGGCCTAAATAATGAGCGGAAGAGGTTAAATGTCTAAAGTGTCCTTGTCTGGAAATAGGTTTAGCGGCATTTAATGTAATAATTACTAATTTGATGACTGGTTTCCTATCTACGGTCGTGACAACCATTGAAGAGCTAACATAAACCACGTTTTGGTGTCTTGGATTTATAGGCGGCATAAAACTGCTTCTCCTGTTTTGGCTTTAAAAAAAAAACAGGATATTTGGCACGGCTTAATTAGAAGCAACTGGAAACCAAACCCACCCACCCAACCCAACCAAGGAAGCCGTGGCAAGGACCCCCTAAATTGAGCAGTGAAGATTGAAGAAAAATGTCTCCATGTTCTTCAGTGTACCTGTTCACATGGCCGGTTCCCCACCTCGCATGTCGGTCAGACAAAATGGCATATATTGACATATGTTGTCTTGTCTACAATAACATATAGTGAGTGTATCTTGGTTACATCTAACTAAATAAAACAAAAAAATTAATTTGGAAACTGAGAACTCATATGATGTTTACATGAATTTGACATACTACATGTTTCCAAGCAGTAGCCGACCCAGGCAATTTAATGGCTAAATAATGGATTAAACATAATCTCTTAAGCATATAAGCTACACAACAATTTTACATAGCAGAATTTGACGCCCATGAACCTGGGCAGCGGCCTAAGGTCGCCGGGTCCTAAGCTGTTCACAAGCTCGGTGAAAACAAAAACAAGTTCACTCATGTATTTACTACCTCCGTCCTCAAAAGAATGCAATTCTAGCACAGTGTCACGTTTTAGTACTTAAGTTTGACTAATTATAGATAAAAAGTATCGTGTTTATGATATCAAATAAATATTATCAGATTAATTACGAAATGTATTTTTATAATAAATTAATTTAAAGACATAACTATAAATATTACTCGCTAAAAACTTGGTCAAACCACTTATCACTTGTCGTGGTACGTAACCCATATTTTTATTCTTTTACCGGATGGAGGCAGTAACTTTCTATCTAAACAAGTAAAATTTTGCCGGCAAGCAAACATGAAAGATGGAGGTATAGCAGCATAAACATCAGTAAACCTTGGCTCTAGAGAGTGGCCCCACTACCACTAGTCCCATGCATGTCATATTGGCATGTTATTACCGTCCTGTAATTGTCAGTGATGAAGCTTTATATTAGTTAAAGTAGTGTGGGCATGGTGTTTCCAACTTTCCATTCGTCCTGTTCGTTTAACTTATAAACTGTACTTTTTTAGCTAATAAATAGTATTTTTCTCTCACATTTATAGATAAAAAGTATCATGTTTATGATATCAAATAAATATTATCAGATTAATTACGAAATGTATTTTTATAATAAATTAATTTAAAGACATAACTATAAATATTACTCGCTAAAAACTTGATCAAACTTAAACCACTTATCGTGGTACGTAACCCATAGTTTTATTCTTTTCAGGACGGAGGCAAGGCAGTAACTTTCTATCTAAACAAGTAAATTTTTGCAGGCAAGCAAACATGAAAGATGGAGGTATAGCAGCATAAACATCAGGAATTCAGCAAGGTTCATCAATTATTTATTTTGCTCGAAGAGATGAGAAAAAACAACTTTTCGGAGTAAATTTACGATCGATGGGCCCCAACCACTAGTCCCATGCATGTCATATTGGCATGTTATTACCGTCCTGCAATTGTCAGTGATGAAGCTTTATATTAGTTCAAGTAGTGTGGGCATGGTGTTTTCAACTTTCCATTCGTCCTGTTCGTTTGGCTTGTAAGCTGTACTTTTCCAAATAAATAATATTTTTCTCTCACAACAAATCAGTCAATCATACTTTCAACCATGGTTTATCAGCCAAACGAAATAAATAATTTTCTATAAATCTTTAGACCAGCGAGTCACTACAAATACACTACTCCCTCAGACAAGGCACTCAGCGTTGGAGCGTTGGTAGTTCAGGAATCGCAAGGTTCATCAATTATGCTCGAAGAGATGAGGTTCAGCTTTTCGGAGTAGAGTGATGGGCAAACAGTGCAAGCACAAGACGTCGAAGTTAATGCAGTGATTGGACGCAGTATGCGAGAGGTAGGGCCTGTTCGGCAGGACTGAAAAATACTGTTCCGACTAATTGTTGTGAGAAAAAAATACTGTTCTGATAAGGCATAAACAATGATTTTGTGAGAGAAAAAACAAGCCAGCCGGCTGACTTAAAGCCAGCCGAACAAGCCCGTACTCCGTAGTAATTGTAGTTTGTTGATGGTCGTTCCTAATTAATAAGGGGCTGTTCCACAGACTCAATTGTAGGGGAAAATCTTTGTTGATGGTCACTACTCAAAATGTTAATATTTTCTGATGGATACTACTGCTTAAGAGCAAGGCTAATAAGGCCCGTTTGGTTGAGCTTTTGGCCATGGCTTTTGCCTCAAAAGCCAAAAGCCCAACCAAAGGACAAAAACACCAGCAGCTTTAGACAAAAGTTACTTTTGCTCTAGTACAAAACTCAAATCAGCTCTTCCTCTGCTTTCAGCTGCTTTTGGAGAAAAAAAATATCCACCTACCGCTGATCATGTGTGTATCGTTATTTCCTTTTTCTTTTCTCGTCCACTCGAATTGTTCGCAGAAGTGTCGCGACCGAAGGGATCCCCACCGGTCGGTGTCCCCGGGCCGGCACGGCCAGGCCGACGGCTCCCATGGTCGGCGGATCCGCGTCCAGGCCGGCGCCCCCAGGCCAGTGCGGCCAAGCCGGCGGCTCCCAGACCGACGTGGCCATGGCCGGCGGCTCTGTTTCCTCCACGTGCAGGGCAGCGTTCATGGCGCCCGAGTTCATGGTGCACGAGATGCATGATGAGCGCGTGGACGTGTACTCATTTGGGAGTACGGCGAGGACGAGCTCTGTTTCCTCCGCGTGTAGATCTACAAGAAGTTCACTGCCGGCAGATTCCCCGACGCATCTACGACGGCGTTGAAGGGCCTGCGGCGGGTTTAGGGTCGCCGCCGGAGGGAACCTTCCGTGGCGGGGTCGGGGTCCGATGAGGGCGGCGCCTAGACGGCATCTCCAGCGGGAGGTAGAAGAAGGGGCCGCTCGTCAGTGAGAGAGGGAGAGAGTTGAGTGAGGAGGGCTGTGGATGACACGTGGGTCCGCTCAACAGCTTTCTTAAAAGCTACAGCTACTCAACCAAACCGCTTTTGACTTTCTCACAGCCCACATCTCACAACTGTTTTTTTAAAAGCCACAGCTCATATCTGCTTTCACAAAAGCCAGAGCTCAACCAAACAGGGCCTAATACAGTTGGCTGCTGGCTGTAAGTTTTTTTACAGCCTTCTCTCAACTCACTTGTATAGTAGTTAGTTCATCATTATTAATATATTACCAACTTGTCTCTCTCATAAACTTTTTTGGTTCTTGTGTCTAAGCCGGCTATAAGCTTATAGCCCGCTTTTGCTCTCTCCTCCACCTTAATATTTAGCCAGCTTACAACCCGCTATTATACTTGCTCTAATATTATCTTTGCTAGAAGATGCTATTTAATTCTAGTAATTACTCTCTTCATATTCTTTTTTTAAGAGTGAATGAGTTTAACCCGGATTAATTATCCATTGGATGCAACGCTCTCTTGGTCGTTGGTACTGATGTAGCGCTCTAGGTACAATTTGTAATGGCATTTTGTATAGATTAAGAATCAAATTTTATAATCTTTGACCAATAATTTGATTAACAACTTTTAATTATTGTAATAAAAACTTGATACTATTAGATTTGTAATAAAATGTGCTATCCAATAACCATAAAAATATAATAATATAAACGAATGATCAGAATATAATTGAGGATTATGCCATGTCAGAAGATGCCTTATAAAGTTGCTCAGAGGGAGTACATTAGAGCAAAGGTGGAACATCTTGATACACCTTATAAAAGAATAACGAGGGAGTAGCTTTTAGACAATATAGTATAGCTACTCAAATAATAGTTTCCATGAGTGAAGGGGAGATAGAAGTTAAAATTAACAATATGCCCCTAGCTATTATACCTCACCCTCAATAGTTATCCAAAAAAGACGTAACATTTGTGTATATGAAGTCAAATGAACATGAACTTCATATCAAATTGTAGAGCTCAATAAGATCTACAACTTTATAGTTGAAAAGTTTTTATTTAAAATAATTTTTTTTCTAGGTTTTTTAGTTTCAAAATTTATAATTTTTGAACAATCTAGGATGTTGACATGGACAATATAAATTTCCAATGCGGTTTATATTGTAGTTATTTTCTCATATTAAGAAATTCAAAATTTACAAACGAAT